AGAGAGAGAGAGAGAGAGAGAGAGAGAGAGAGAGAGACAAAAGAAAAGAAAGACCCATCATTCACCTTGGCCTATTAGAGTGCTGGGATGCTGGGATTAAAAAGCATGAGCCACCTTGACCTAACCTCTTAGCAATATCCTGCAATGTTTGTAGAATCTACAACATCAACCAACACCTGTATCTCTCACATTATCTAGGATGGATAACTAAAAGCAAAACAGAAAAGGAAAGTAAAAACTAGGTTGGGTGGCATTTACCTATGAATACACACTTGGGAGGCAGAGGCAGGAAAAACGTCTTAAGGTCCGGGCCAAACAAGGCTACGTGGAAAGTTGTCTCAAAAAAAAAAAAAAAAAAAAAAAAAAAAAAGCGGGTAGTGGCTGCCCAAGTAATCATGACACTCCAGAGGCAGAGGCAGGTGGACATTTCTGTGAGTTCGAGGCCAGCCTGGTCTACAGATGAGTTCCAGAACAGCCAGGACTATGGGAAAAACCATGTTGGGGGGTGGAGGGGAGTCTAAAATGGTAAAATGGTGACAGTGGTCATTTATCGGTATCAATAGTTTTCAATACTGCGAGCACTCCTACAAGGCACTACACGCATTGCTATCCTTCAAAGGCAAACGGTGCAATGGCGGGGATGGAGTGGGAGGGAGAAATCAGAGCTTTAAATTAGGGGCAGGGATGGGGAAACAGCAAGGGATACAAACTTTCAGTTTCAAGTTCTGGATACTTCATGTACAGCCCAGTGATTAATAATAATGATGTATGCTTGAAACTTGCTGAGAGTAGGCCATGTGTTCTCAAAAAGAAACTGAAGGTGCCTGGACCAGGTATATACTAATTAACTCGACAATGGTAATCATTTCACAACCTCTACATGCATCCAAATATCACGCTGTACACTTTAAAATATATAAATTATTATTTTGTGAGTCACACTTCAATAAAGCTAGAGAAAGAAAACAATATCCAGAGAACCCCGAAAAGGATGGGTTTACCAGAAAAAGTAAAGATATTGAGTGCTACCGGTTGTCTGCAAAATCTGTGCACAGCTGAGATTTGCTGATCGCAAAAAAAAAAAAAATTACAAAAGGGTAAATTTAGACTAAATCCATACCATTCAGCAAAGAAAAGAGGAACGGGGATTCCAGGAAGCCACCGAGAGGTTCTGACAGTACCACCGGGAATGGGGGCGTTCCAAGCCGGCCTGCACCTTGGCCACCCCACCTGCAGCGGGGCCTGGGAAGAGCAGGCTCAGCACAGGGTTGGATCGCCCGCCCAAGGCGAGCAAGCGGCACCGAGAAGCGCACGACCCCGGGGAAGAAGGGCTGCAGAAGGGCGGGGCGCGCGCCGCCGGGGTCGCGAGGGCGCCGCCGGGCAGCAGCGCAGCAGCCCGGACCCCTCCTCAGGCCACGGCGAGGAAGGAGCGGGGCTCCTAAGCGACGGAAAGCACAACTTACTCCGCGGTCTTCCTCCGAGAGGAAGTCGGGGCCGTCATCCAGACCTTCCTGTTGAGCCCGCCGGCCCGGCGCACCGGAGGGGTTGGAGAGGAAAGGGGAGACACAAAGAGAGACATTAGCGCCCGGCCCGCGCCGTCCCCGCGCCCGCCGCCCCCACCGCGCGCCCCGGGTTCGGCGCCGCCGTGAACACCCACCATCATGGCTGCTTCGAGTCCGGGGCTCGCGCAGGCGCACGAGCGAGGCCCAGGAACGAGCCGGCCGCGCGGGTGGGGCGGGGGCGGAGCCTATGCCAGACCCGCCCCTCCAGGCCCGCCCCCTGTCATCAGGAAGGCGGAGGGGTGGAGGGGCGTCCCTGAAGGAGAAAGGACACTGGATCGTTTTTTTTAGCTGGGCGGCAGCCCCGAGCCTTGGTAGCTGCTTGCTGCTGGCTAGCTCAGGCTTGGGAAGGCTCCAGGGCCACCGGGAAAGTCGTCCTCTTCCCTTGCCCCAAGGGCCCAGAAAAACTGTGTAAGCAAGCACCCTCAGTAAATAGTCTCGTCTTTGTATGGAGCTATATGATGATTAATCACCATTAATAAACACCACATTGCCTGTGGAAGTTTAAGGAGCGGAGAGCCTTCACACAGTAAGCAGACAGGGGCTATAATCAAGCTTTTACTGCTGGGGAAGTAATAACTGCCTCAGTTTGGGGAGCTAATGACTGAGCACTATAAAAAAAAAAGAGCTGTTCTGATTACAGGAGTATCCCTTGCCTTCATAACTAAGAACATAACTTAGAACTGTCCAGATGGATAACGCCAAACCAGTACCCATAAGCTCTTCAGAACAAGAAAATAATTTCTGGGGCCAGCATCGTGACTTAGCCGTGAGGAAAGGTACTTGTCCCTAAACCTAATGACCTGAGTTCAATCCCCAGGATTGACCCACAAGATAGAAAGGTACGTCACATTGTTCTTTAACACACACACGAGATCAATAAATACACGTAATTTTAAAAGAAACAAATTTTAACCTACTGCGCTTCACCTCTACAAAGGAACCCTCAGGCAATCCTATGTCTCCATTCATTTAGTGACATCAGCACCTTAGATGTTCAAGACAGACAGAATCCTATCCTATTCAAAGCCATCTTTCTCGCTCCTCACTCCTCAAATTCAAACAAATACCGTTATGTCTACAATTGATTTGTTATCTCCACCTCCCTTCCTACACATACATATATACATGTATGTATCTATCTCCTGACCACATGTATGTATCCACCCCCCCCCTACTTCTTTCTAGCCTTTTAGCAGCATCCCAGCCTTCCCGGACCCTGACAATACACCCTAATTTCAACTAAGAAGGAGTTACAGAGGAGATTACATCACCCTTTATCATCAACAAAAAGTCTGGAATGTCAGATCCAAAAAACTGCAGAGAAATGGCTAACTGTGGTGCCTATTAGTACACCAAAGTACTTGCGGGCCTCCAAGCTTTCTCAGGATTGCAAGTACCTGTTACAGAGTCCATGAGGGCATCCTGGCTCCTCTCAGCTCTTCCCTTCCTGCCCCCTACCCTAAATTTCTCCAGTTCATGGGCTTCCCCTCCCCTAGCTTCTCATTCCTATATAACCCTGCCATTCTGGTGTGTGCTCTCTTGCTCAGCCCCTTTCGGCTCTCTCTCCTCTTTGTTTTCTCTTTTCCTCTCTCACTCTCTCTACCCCCTCTTTCTCCCAGTCTGCTGGCCACGTAGATGACTTTCTCTCCGTGCCCTAGACTCTTCCAGGTGTCTCAGGCTCCACCCTCCCTCCTATCTACAATGAAAACCTTCCCCTCAACCATCCCTTGGAATCGGCCCTGTAGATTCTGAGACCTGTAACTCTGGCTGGCCTACCTGTTTGTCTACAGGGCTGGCCTTTAACTTTCAGAGACCCTTCTACCTCAGCTTCCCCAGATGCTAGAGTTATAAATTCTGCTACCACACCTGGCTTCTTTTCGTTATGTTTTTCTTTCTTCCTTCCTATAATAATTTTTTAATTGGTCCCTCTTTCTCCACTTCCTCAGTAGTCACCATTCATGTCTCTTCTAGGGCCATTTGCAATTATCAGTCTTTCAAGTGCTGAGATTATTCTTTCCCCAGGATTTTCCAGGTCACTGTGCGTGCAGCCCAGGTTGTCCTCACATTGTAACTCCTTGAGTTCAAGGCCTGCATGGAAGCACCTGAGTCATCTCACCGTCCCTGCCTCAGTCATTATCCAAGAGTCTTAAATGTCAGCATTTAAGTGAGGTCCAGAGACTGTAAGCCTTAAGTGCCCAAGAGTTAAATCCCTACTCATGAAAAACACGCAGGACGGGATTGGAAATACCAGTAGCACAATTAAAATGACCAACAAAGACGTGGTGGTAACTGCAGCCGCAATCCGGAGCAGAAAACTCACCGCATAGAGAACTTGTCCTTGAAATAATAAAGTTGAAAAAAGTAAATTAAAGGATGAATCGATAAAAAAAAGGAATAATAAAGTTGTTAGCTAATGCCGAAACTTCCCTTTGCGAGCAAAGGTCACAAACAAAGTTCTAGAAGCGATAAAAAGTAATTATCAGTAGAACTTGGTGGTGCACACCTTTAATTTTAGCGCTGGGAGCCAGAGGCAGGTGGGTCTCTTCAAGTTCAAGGTCAGTCATGTAGTGAATTCTAAGACAGCTGGAGCTAAGCAGAGAGACTCTGTCACAAAAAAAAAAAAAAAAAAAAAAAAAAAAAAAAAAAAAAAAAAAAAAANAAAAAAAAAAAAAAAAAAAAAAACAGACTGTGGTGGCACTTGTCTTTAATCCAGCACTTGGGAGACCTAGGCAGGCAGATCTCTGTAAGTTCGATGTCAGTTTAGCCTACAAGAGCTAGTTCCAGGACAGGCTCCAAAACTTCAGAGAAACCCTGTCTCGAAAGCCAAAAACACATACATTGTTGAAGCAGTATATTTACAGCAGAATGCCTGTGGCAGATGTTTTTGCACAATGATTACAACAATATGAACATTGTGCAGTGAGGTACCAACAGGCTGCCCCCTTACTCTTCAGCTCCGCTGCAGCTCTGTCAGGCAGGGGACATCTGGAGGTGTGGCTTTCCCTGTGCTGTGATGGAAACTCCAAATCTTCCTTTCTCAACCTGAGAGAGACCTTCCTCAAACTCAGGAGGCAGCTGAGTCTATGCAGCAGGTCTTCCTGCGTGAGGCTCCCAGTGAAGCAGGACTGAGGTCAATCTGTAAGAAGTGTTCGGAGGACACAGACAAAACTCTGGAGACCTCCACAGCCAGTCGTGGTGGCACAGGCCTGGAACCCTGAGTTTGGAGGCTGGGGAAAGAGGATTGCCGCAGTTTAAGGGCAACCTGGCCTATATATTAACAACAAGTCCCAGGGCAGCCAAGGTTACATAGTGAGACCTGTTCCAAATAGGAGAAGAAGGGGGAGGGAAAGTCAGAAGAAGGAGAAAGTGGGAGGAAAAGAAGGGGGGAGGGAAGAGAGTAAGGCGGAGAGGGAGGGAGGGGAAGAAAAGAAAAGAAAAGAAAAGAAAAGAAAAGAAAAGAAAAGAAAAGAAAAGAAAGCCTAGGCCCTAATATGATGGCTTCCATGGCTGGCTCAGACCATCTTTCTTCCTGTTTGTACCCTCTGTCTGTTCCTGCTCCTCACCATATCTAGGGTGCATTTAGTCCAGGCCTTCTGAGAAACCTAGAGTCAGTACCCAGGACTTCCTGCCACTCGGCTCAGTTCAGCCCTGCGAGTCCAGAAATGAATAATTTACTCTCAGATTCTACAACCAGATTAGTCAGTCACTTCCCTGACTTTGCTGTTTACATAATTCCCTTAGCCTTGCAGTTTCTAAAGGCAGCTCCCACAGAGTGTGTGTGTCCTCACTTTAGAAGCACACTGGCGCTGGGCAGTGGTGGCGTACAACTTTAATCCCAACACTTGGGAGGCAGAAGCAGGACAGCCAGGGCTACACAGAGAAACCCTGTGTCGGGTTAAAAAAAAGAAAAAGAAAAAGAAAGAATCCCTGTCTCAAAAAACAAAACAAAACAAAATAGCACATTGGCAGAATATGCTGAATTCTAAATTGTTCAGATTATTTCTTTCCTCCTCTTACACTTAACAGAGCAGATTTCTTCCCTAACCTGTGGCATGGGAGGCCTTCAAAACTTCCAAAGGGCCAGGCAGTGGTGGCATATACCTTTATTCTAAAAACTCGAGAGGGGGGGAGGGGGAGGGAAATGGGAGGCGGTGGCGGGGAGGAGGCAGAAATCTTTAATAAATAAATAAATAAATAAGTAAAAAAATAAAAAATAAATAAAAACTCGAGAGGCAGAGGCAGGCGGATCTCTGTGAGTTCGAGGCTAGCCTGGTCTACAGAGCAAGTTCCAAGACAGCCAGAACTACACAGAGAAACCCTGGCTCGGCAAACAAAACAAAGAGTCAGTAAATTTGTCAGGGAGGCAGGACAGACATTCTCCAGATGTCATTGTTCATGGCTGCACTCCTTCAGACAGGAGCAGCTGTGTGTAAGAGATGTCAATGGACCATGTCTACACCCGATTAACCTCCACATGGCTAAAGTCAGGCTTGGCAGACCTGGATCCTTCTAGAGACTTGCAGAAGCTGCATGCCCTTGCCTTCTGCCTTCTGCATCCAATGACCCTTCCTTCCTTCCTTCCTTCCTTCCTTCCTTCCTTCCTTCCTTCCTCCTTCCTTCCTTCCTTCCTTCCTTCCTTCCTTCCTTCCTTCCTTCCTTCCTTCCTTCCTTTCTCTGTAACTTTGGAGCCTGTCCTGGAACTAGCTCTTGCACATCAGGCCGAACTCACAGAGATCCACCTGCCTCTAACTCCCGAGTTTTGGGATTAAGGGCATGCGCCACCAATGCCTAGCAGATTTTTTTTTTTTTAACAAAAGTGTTTACATTTACTTCTGTGTTGACTGGGGGTGGGGACATGAGTGGGGAGTGGGGAGTGGGCACTGGAGCCCAGAGGACAACTTTCAGGAATCCTTTTTTCTCCTACCTCCTGTGGACTCTGGGGACAGAACTCAGGCCCTCAGGCTTAGAGACAATATCCTTTATCTGATCAACTGTCTTGCTGGGCCCTGTTTGTTTTCCAAACACGGTTTCAGTAGTTTTCCAAGGCTGGGCCTCGAACTCAAAACCCTCCTGAGGCCTCAGCGTTCTTTCTGTGTGAGATTACAGTTGTCACCACCAGGGCTGGTCCCCTTTTGACCGTCACGCCTTCCTTTTGTTGTTTATTCTGTTTCATTGTTGGTTAATTGGT